GGTACAGTACCGGTGGGGGACGGGTCTGTCGCTGTATAACACTGGGGCACAGTACCGGTGGGGGGACGGGTCTGTCCCTGTATAACACTGGGGTACGGTACCGGTGGGGCACGGGTCTGTCACTGTATAACACTATGTAACTCCTTTCTCCTGCGTGTGTGTGTGCACCCAGGTGCGAGCCCACCAGCTGGTCCTGCCACCGTGCGATGTGGTGATTAAAGCCGTGGCTGTGTACGTCAGCAAAATCCCAGACGTCCGTGACCTCGACGCAGTGGCCAGGGACGTGTTTAAAAACTCGCGGGTCAGTTGCTGCAATTTCCGGGTGTGTAAGCTCCCTGCCCCGTCTCACTGCAGGCAAGAGGCGCCTGTTATGTTTTTCAAAGGTCTGTCACGCAGCACTCCCGCGCCTGTCCCAGTCCCAGTCCCGGAAAACAGTTGGCGTTGCTGATGGAGTTAGGGGACAGGATGGAATTTCACCCTGTCACGCTGTCTTCATTGGAGTGTAGGGCTCTTGCTGCTCACTCGCCCTCCCATTACTCTGTCCCTACTTGGGAAGGTGGGGGTGAGTTGCCTTCTTGACCCGCTGCAGCCCCCTCTGTGTAGCGTAGGGACACCCCGCACAGTTCCCCGTTAGGGAAGCAGTTGGGGATTCTGACCTGACAATGGATTAGCCAATATCGTTCCCACTTGGGGTGGTGTATGGGGTCTGCAAGGGGAATTTGCAGGGACTGGTGATCCCCCTGCATATGCTGCCCCTTGTCCATCCAGGGGTTAGAGGGTGGTGGGTTCAGGAGGTGCTGTGGGAGGGGCCTCGGCAAATCGCTGCAGTGCATCTTGTCGATGGTACACACTGCTGCAGAGCATCGGTGTTGGAGCTCAGCCGAGCATTCCTAATGAGCCCAGCGACTGCTATGTTTTGGTGGTGGAGGGGGAGGGGTTGAAGGTGGGGGGTTAGCATCTTGATTGAGCGGTGAGGCGGGGTCTGCTTCTCGAGTGTTGTTGCACACATCTGGGGCAAGTGGGGAGGGCACGCTTCTGCCTTGTGCCTTGTCGATGGGGTTGGAGGGTGTTGAGGGGTGGCGTGGAGGTGGGGAAGAGTCAGGAGGGGAGTTGCTCGCTGCGGGTTTCTTCTCCCAGGGGTTTGCACCAAACTGCTGACCAGTGCGATGAGAGGGAGATCTGTGACTGGGAGCGGGGGCGTTGTGGGTGGTCGGTGGGACTCTGGAATGGGAAGGCATTCCCGAAATGGCTTCTAACCTTTTCCCCAACGTTTCCAACCCTCTGCACCTCCAGGCACGAACAGCCGACAAGATGGCCCGGTTCAAACAGGCCGTGGAATATTACTCAGCTGCAAGCAAGCCGAGACTACCTGCTGCTGCGCTCGGACCCCCTCCCTTCCTGGGTGAGTGCTGTTTCCCTACACCCCCTCCCTATCACCCCCCAACCCCCCCAAGTCCAGCCACTTACATCCCCTGCCTACCTCCGTCACCCCCTCCAGCCCCTACACCCCCCCCATCTCCGTCACCCGCTCCAGCCCCTGCAACCCCTCCCTATCTCCGTCACCCGCTCCAGCCCCTGCAACCCCTCCCTATCTCTGTCACCCCCGTCCAGCCCTTTACACCCCTTCCCTATCTCTGTCACCTCCTCCAGCTCCTCTGATCCTGGCTTCTAATGCATTTCCCCCGTCCGCCATTGGGGGTGGGAGGTGGCATGTGAGCTTCTGTTTCCCTCATCTTCGCTCTTATTCTGACTGTGTGTACGTCTACCTCTCTCTCTCTCTTTCTTTCTCTCTCCCTTCCCTCTCCTCCCACTCCCCCCACTCCCACTCAATCTGTTTTCACCCTCCCCTCCGTGCTCCTTTCCCTATCTCCCTCTGACGCTTGCTCTCCCTCCCTGTTTCTCCGTCTCCCTCTCCCTCTCCATGCCCCCCGCTCTGTCCCTGTCTCGCCGTGTCACCCTCTCCCTCCCCATACCACCCCACCCCACATCTTCTTGTCCTTGTCCTTGTTCTTATCATGGGACATATGGAGGAAACCAGTGGTACGTTCTGTTGTTGATGGAGAGAGCGAGTATGCATGCGCGCAGGGCTCACTCTATCCCTCGATTTTAACCAGCTGTCTGGGGAGCAGGCCTGTGCCTCAAAGCTGGTGCTACTGCATTCTCTTCCCCCCCCGCCCCATCCCCTTTCTGAGGCCTGTTCATAAACCGCTGGTGGGAGCTGGCCTGGTTTAAAGGGGGAAAACCTTGCCGAGCGGCTCTCGGGACTAAGCCATCTGCCTCTTCTAGTCTTATTTTCCGGTACATCATCAGACCCTTCATTCTTACCGACTGGCAATCTCTTCCCCCACCGGCTCCCCGACAAAACATCCACAGCCTCTGTTTCCGAATGAGTTGCCGCCCTTTCTCAGAAAGGAAATAAAAATACCTCCGTTCTGTTTGAGCTCGGTAGCTCCAGTAGTTTATTTTACGGAATTTGTCCCAGTTTGAGAAGGTGCTGCTATGGACCAGACCAAATCCCCTCAAAAGGCATTCAGGAGGTAGCCCACCCGCTAAGCTTTTCCTGTTTCAAATGCAACCGTAAGGTGTTGTGTTCTGGATGCAATTTCCATCAGTCAGACTACCAGATTTGAAACACAACTGACTTTATTCAAACACGATATGCTTAAAATACAAGATAAGAAAGAAGAAACTGGAATAACTTCTTAACCTGATTGGAAAACTTAGCAGAATAATAGATGATTTAATTGCTAAATGGTAACTGTTCCAGTATAGTAACATCCCATAAACACACCCTTGGCATAGGCATGTTCAGCAAAATAGATTGTCTCAAAGGCAATTCTCCACTCCAGGAGGGAAAAAAAATCCGAGGAGAGCTCCGAGAGATGGGGGGAGGGTGGTGGGGGGAGAGTGTACGCCCGGAGGGAGGTGGTGGGAGAAGGGGGCGAGTGTGCACCTCCCACCGGGCGTGCGCCCAGAGATCTACAGCAGCTTCCAAACCCCAGCAACTGTGACTTAACAACTGGAGCTAAAAATTGCTGGTTCTGTGGGAGCTTGACTCCACCCATTCATGCTGCTTCTATTGTTTCAACTTTTTTTTCGAAAAACCCAAGTCCTCTCAAACTTTTTATTTTCTTGGCTTTGCATCAGACCACTCAGCACCCCTGTCTCGACCTTTCTTCAGGAAAAGGAAAACCAGGACAAAATACCTCTGTTAAGGCCACTGTTATTGTGGTAGCGCCAGTGAGCTATCTCCTTGAGTTGAGAGTCAGCCCCATGTCACTGAGAGGGAGTTAGGTGCCAGCCCCAGGCTGGGTAGGGACAGACACAGGGGCAGCAGGCGGAGTTTATGTTGCCATCAGTCAGCAGCTTCCTCCAGTTTTGGCCTGTGTTTGAGGGCTCAGCGGTGACCATGGCAGGCCCCTGGCTGTGATGAGTTCTTGTTACTTCTTGTTTGTAGGTCTGGGAGCTACTCAGTTCGGAATGACCTCCTTCCCTGCAGCTCACCTTCAGGGAATGCCCCAGCCAAAGCCTATGGTAAGTAAAAACGCAGAGAAGGGGGGGAGCAGGGAGTGGCGGTTCAACAGCGGGTCAGGAAGGCTGGGGAGGTGGGGGATTTCAGTGTGTGTGTGTGGGAGAGGAGCGAGGGGATATGTCTGTGATGGGGGCAGTATGGAGTTTGTAGATTAAGCGCGGGGAGAGAGGGTGGTTTTGTGTGAGGGGCTGTGTTGGATTGGGAGGGGGGAGCGTCCCACTAGAATTGGGGAGTCCGAGGTGGTGGGCGTGGGGGTGTGGAAAACGGTATTCAGGGAGTTGGCGGTAAAGCACGTGACAGCGGTGAAGGGGACACTGTGCAGCCATGCACTAACAGGGAGCTCTCTCTCGTCTCTCTCCCGCCCCACTACACCCTTGCACACGCTCTCTCTCTCTCTCTCTCTCTCTCCCCCCCCCTCTCCCCCCCATTCTCTCCCGCTCTTGCTTGCTGTCCCGCACCCCCCTCCAGTTCCCCCCTCCCCCGGTGCTGCAGAATCTGCCGTACCAGCCCTTGGTGCCTGGCCCCCCCTCCACAGTACCCTTCCCTCCCTCGCAGACTCACCTGGTGCACCGACCTCCCTTCGAGCCTCCTGGCTTACCCAAATGTGAGGGGTCACTGCAGCGGCCGGGCGCCAGGCCCTTCGGCGAGTGGGCTAGTCCCTGCTACCCCCCGGCGCCCAGCCGGCCCTGTAACCACGTTGTCGCCAAGCAACCGTCATCACCTATCGCCAACTCCTCACCGTCCTCCGTATCCGACCCAGAGGAGCAACACCGAGGCACTGCAGCCAAGTAAGTCATCACCATGCTCTGTACGGTTAGTGTTCATGTGTACTGCGATTCTGTTGGAGCGCCGCGCACGGTTCCTATCTCCCTATCCCTCGGTCAGACCCACACTCGGAGCGCCGTGCGCAGTTCCCGTCTCCCTATCCCTCGGTCAGACCCACACTCGGGGCGCCGTGTACGGTTCCCGTCTCCCTATCCCTTGGTCAGACCCACACTCGGAGCGCCTTGCACGGTTCCCGTCTCCCTGTCCCTCGGTCAGACCCACACTCGGGGCGCCGTGTACGGTTCCTGTCTCTGTATCCCTCGGTCAGACCCGGTCTGAGAGCAGGACTGATCTGGAAATGTTGAACGTACCTAGAGCTCTGTTCTCCCATAGCAATAGGTAAGGGGTGATCTGCTCTTGAAGGTGAAGGGGATTTCAAGAGGGTCAGTCTGGGGGGCAGGGGTAGAAATGTTTCCCCATTTTTGTCTGCAGGGGTTGTTGGGATCTCCGTAAGAGGCAGTCATTAATACATCCGACTGGGAATTGGGAATGGCATGCAGGAGAATGCTGATGTGATTCCCTGCCCCAGGGAGCGGTCAGGGGGAATTGTGTTTCACTATGGGAAGCTGGATAAACACACAATGGAGAGGGGGGTGCTGGGAGGATACAGGGAGGGGAAAGCGAGAGTTGTCGGAGACTCTTTTTGCAACGTGGATGTGATAGACCACTTGGGACAAGCAGTTTACTTGTGTGCAGTAAATTCTACATGGCGCCTGCAATTTTTATCCTGCTCCAGGATTAATTAGGTTATGTCTCTGTGTGCCAAAGCAGGTCACAGCAGGGTTACAAATCATACAACGCTCCCAGGACAGGGACAGAGAACAGAGTAAAGCTCTCTCTCTGCACCACCTCACTCCTAGGACAGGGAGTTAGATGCAGAGTAAAGCTTCCTCTACTCTGTCCTCATCAAACACTCCCAGGACATGGACAGCACAGGGTTAGATACAGAGTAAAGCTCTCTCTACATCGCCCCCCCCATCAAACACTCCCAGGGACAGCATAGGGTTAGATAGAGAGTAAAGCTCCCTCTACACCGCCCCCACTCCCAGGATTGAGTGCACTAACCCAGGGCCATTGTTATGTTTTCCAGCCACCTCACAGAGCAGCCCCCCCAACACAAGGCGAACTGGGACGTGGCTGGCACAGCTTCAGATCCGAGCAGGAACTCTCACAGCAGGACCTCTGAGGTAAAGGAGCCGCAGAGAAGCTAGCTGAGGGTTTTACCACAACCAGGAGCCCCGAGCTCCGTGAGGATACCTCCGAGATTTAATGTGTGCCTTTGTTTTCGTTTTGTTGCTGTTGCTGTGCCTGTTGCAGATTGAGACTTTACCATGAGCTAGTACTGGTTCAGTGGTCTGAATGGCCGCCTCCTACTCTGACTGCGTGCAGCCTGTTTCCTAAATGGGGAACGGCTACAGAAATCTGAAGGACAAGGGGGATCGGGATTCTCTTAAAGTTAACGTGGCAGCAGTTAGAAAGGCAAATGGGGGAGCTTGTGGCCAGCAGTGTGCCCCAAGGACCTTGTGCTGGGTCCACTGCTTCTTGTCATTTATATAGATGATTTGGATGTGAACACAGGGAGGTACGGTTAGTAGGCTTGTAGGTGACACCGAAATTGGAGGTGTAGTGGACAGCGAAGAAAGTTACCTCGGAGTACAACGGGACCTCGATCTGATGGGCTGAGGAGGGGCTGACGGAGTTGGAGATTGGGTCCAGAGGACCTTTACAAGAATGATCCCCCTGGGGATGAAGGGCTTGTTGTATGGGGAGTGTTTGAGGACTCTGGGTCTGTACACGATGGAGTTTAGAAAAATGAGGGAGGAATCTGATTGGAACTTGCAGAATACAGATAAGCCTGGGTAGAGTGGATATGAAGATGATGCTCTCACGAGATGGAGAGACCAGGACCTGAGGGCACAGGCTCAGAGTGAAGGGGGTGAGTCTTCAGGGCTGAGATGAGGAGGAATTTCTTCAGCCAGAGGGTAGGGAATCTGTGGAACTCACTGCTGCTGTGGCGGGGGGGGCCAAGTCATTGAGCCTCTTTAAGGCAGAGAGAGAGGTTGGTGAGAGGATCCAGGGAGAATGGGGTTGGGAAACCTACGGAAGGACAGAGTGGACTCGATGGGCCGAATGGTCTAATTCTGCTGTTCTGTCTTACTGATACAGGCCTCATCCGATGCCAGGGCTGGGAGCCGGAAGCCCACTGCCCCACAGGCGCCGGGTATGGGCTCCGGCAGTAGCAGCAACAACAACAGCGATAACCCTACGGCCCACATCCCATCGCTGCTGTCAATGCAGACTCGGAACCACATGGACATCACCACCCCACCGCTGCCCCTAGTGGCACCCGAGGTCCTGCGCGTGGCTGACCACAGACACAGGAAGGGCCTCATGTACCCCTACATCTACCAGGTCCTGACCATGGTAAGTGCCAGTGGCCCGGAGGGTGGCAAGCTGTGCCAACCGGCTCAGGAGACGGCTGCAAGGTGGGATTCTCCTCAGCCAGGAGGGAGGGGCTGTACTTTGTGATACAGAGCTGGATTCGACTGATGTTATTACCCACCTGGCGTTGGGGGAGGTGATGGGAGGGGGGGGTGGGGGGGGGGAGTTGGTGGGGAGAATGGCCGATTTTTGGGAGCCTGTGGCGTGGACCAATTTTTTTGCTGGAACCTTCCACTGTTCACTTTGTTTATCTTCTTCTACCCTCTGTTCGGTCCGTCCCCTCCTTTCTCACCCTCCTGCCCACACCACCCCCCTCTCCCTCGCATTTCCCTCCCCCCCACCCCCCCCGCCCTATTCTCTCCCCCCCCCCCCCAACCCCCCCCCCCCCCCAAATCCCCCCCCTTCCCCCCCCCCCCCCCCCCCACCCCTTTCAGGGTGAGCTGAAGCTCCCGGTCTGTATTGAGGATGAGACGAACACTGAACTCCCTCCTGCCACGTTACTGTACCGCTCGGCCAGGCAATATATCTACGGCGTTCTCTTCAGCCTCTCCGAAACCCAGCGCAGAGCCGAACGCCTCGCCATGAGGCGCAGGATTCCTGTCGAAGGTACCATCGGAGCATCACACGGAGCCCGTCCTCTCTGGGGAGAGTCCCACCATCTCAACATAATCACAGCTGACTTCATCGTCCCCTTCACCACTTTCCTGCCTCTTCCGCCTCGAATATAACTCCTCGATCCCCCTTCCTGATTAAACATCTCTC